TGTTTTTAAGGCGTATACATCGGCGTATTGTAAGCATAATTCGAGCAATTTGTTTTTAGCATATTTTGGCATTTGTTTTTGTAAAATTGACTTTAGTTCCTCTAAGCGTTTTGCGTCTTTGGAAGTTTCGATTGTTTTGTAGACATTATAGTTACTGATATCCTCAGCTATGATAATATATATTCGAACGTATTTTACTTCATCCGTAGTATTTATTACTTTTAAAATTGGATTTTTGGTGTCAACGACACTTTGATGTAAAAACACCAGAACAAAGCTCGTGAGAGTCTACAAAAACAGGGTTGTTGGAATTAGTCAATTTAAATAAATGAAAAACTTCACATCTTGGAGGAATTACTAAAGTGTCCGTATTTGAACCGTGCAAAATTGATATTTTAGTGCTTTCTGTCCCAATGCCGGTAGTTATACTGTCATTTGTGTAGTTAATAATACATCTGTTCGTCTTTAAAAAGTCCTGGCCTAGTATGCCGTCAGAAGATAAAAAAAATTGATACAACCAAGTTTGCTCTTACGTTTCCCAATGTTATAACCGATTCAGTTGTTACACCAGTGATGTTTATGGTATTGCTACTGTTAATTGATGAATAATAATTAAAGATCGCTCTAATGCGTCAGATAATTCCTCTACTCGGTTTGCAAAGTCGGAATAGTTGTTATTAGTAATGTGTAATGACGCGATTTTGCCAGAGACAACTTTGGAGTTATCTGGTTTGATTCTGCGCATCTTTTATTTGATCCACTGAAATTATTGGACTGGGTAAAACCTCACGCGCTTTGCCTTCGAGTTTTGACTTTAAAAGTGCTATAAATGTTGTAGTTAAACCTTCATCCGATAACTCTTCTATTAAATTGATTATGTCAATGAATGAGTCGAGCGATAGGGGGTCAGCACTATAGTTTTCTCGAATTATAGATAAATACAAGCTAATAAAAGATTTCTTTTGCTCACGTATTGCCATTTTTATGTTGTTTGTATATGCAATAAAATTAATATTTGGTGAACTAATCGGCAAACGTATAAAGGACTATGATTTAAGGGTATGCACCTGGAATA